TTGTTGCGGGGTTTAGTTTAGTACTTTAGAAATATGGTGAAATTCTACAGACCAAGGCGAATGGGATAAGGTGTTTGTTTCCATATGTGCCATGGTTATTATTCTACACTTAAATGTGATTGGACAAACTTGGACAAAGAAAAATAGTAACTATTGGGGAAATTGATGCGTGAAAACCAATAAAACTGGATCTGACATTATTTGACCAAAAAATAGTGAATAAAAAATATCTGAGTATGTCTGGAAATGAGGCTAATCCCCCCGTGATATGATGAAACATAAACTTGGGAGTTGCCCTATTATGTTCAAACTCACATATTCAAAACGTGTGTTGTTTCTAGTGAAAAAACAAGTGGCATGGTAAGTTCAACCATTGCTCAATGTTTGTGGCTCGTTTTCTGGGTAAATCCGGATGAATTACAATGATCCCAAATGGGATGACTATCCGGTCAGCATCGTGAAGTTCTATGGATCCGAACCTTTTTTCTTTGCAACATAAAAACAAGGTGTAACAAGGCTCCGAAATATCTGGGGTGTTTCCTGATGTTTCCTGTAGAGTTTTCCAGTCTTTATCCCAGTCTTTTTCGTTGGCATCGCGGCATCGCTTACGCCCAAAGACGCGGCATTACGCGGTACGGCACGTTTTTTCGGTGGTTCCTGTCCCTGTTGACCTCGTTTGGGGGGTTATTCACCTGGAGTCGGATTTATAATATGTATAAATGTGGAACTATATTGGATAGAATAATATGTATAATTTGTATATTGGAACTATAATATGTATCTATATTTGATGAATATATCTTGATATAAGTGTGTTTGATTAATATTAGGATAAGTAGAACTATATGATTCTGTATTCGCATAGTCGTTTTTGTTTCCATATAATTATTTTAATATGTGTATAATATATATATCTCTATAGATTTAGATACACATAAACAAAAAAAATACATACACATTGTTGGACACTACTGAAGGGAATAATGGTTTAAAACACCAAACATATGGATATATTTTTGGGTGATATATTTTTGGGTTTATTTTCAGTACTTGAAAAATTGAATTGAACTATTTACATCTAATTACAAGAAGTATTTTTCTTTTACCAAATACACAGAATTACTCATAATATAGGTTCATACTTGGTGGCCATTTCCGCATGATTTTGTATAATAATCTGGTTGGTGGTTTTAACCATCTTGAAAATATGAGTTCGTCAATGGGAAGGATGACATCCCATATATGAAATGGAAAATAAAACGTGTTTGAAACATTTTGGAACCACCAACCAGTAATTCAATGGACTGGCTTAAGGGAAAATCTGCAGGAAACCAAAGATTTTCCCAGTAAATATGGGGTTTTCCTGTAATTTTCCCTTAAACCAATCCATTGAGTAATCTATAAACAACATTTTGACGCAATGACAACGGTTCCATCCAAAGTATCCAAACAACCGGGCGCTCACCCCGTCTGGAGTCGAGAAACGATGCGAGGAAAAGGCTGAATTATACCAAAAAAAACACACACACCAAAACACACACCCTCTGGTAAACTAACATAGCTATTGAAAATGACCATTTAGTGGATTTAACCAAAAAAATGATTTTCCATGGTTGTGTTAGTTTACCGGAGGGTAATGTACATACTGGTTGGTGGTAAAACAACCCCTCTGAAAAATATAAGTTCGTCAGTTGGGATGATGACATTCTCAATATATGGAAAAATAAAAGTCATGTTCCAAACCCCCAAGCAGTATGTATATATATATAACGTATATGTACAGCTCCGGACGTTTGCCCGGAACCCACGCCCGTCGCACGAAAATAACGTTCTTTTTCAACGCGCAGGGCTTTTGGCGGAGTTTCATTCCGACATCATGAGAGGTGGTTCAAAACCATGGTTCCCTAAATCCCATTTTGCGCGCTTTCGCCATCCTTCCGCGCCCCTTTCGCCGCACTTTCGCCACTGCAGCAAAAACATGTGTCCAATAACTATGGTTTATAGGTGATATATCTATAGTTTTCATGGGATGATAAACCAACAAACATGACTTGGGGGGCACCAGCTTGAGAAGATGTCACTCGGATGCTAAAAGTCTTGCAGTTCCGATATATATGGTCCCCGGTGAATCCGGGGGGTTTCGTCATGGACCAATGGAGCTACCCCGAGTAGATGAAGATGGTGACTTTTTCCATGGGAAAATCCCAATCGAATAGCTGGATGATTTTTACAGGGGTACCCCTATGACTCAGGAACCGGAACCCCCCAGTTTATTTAAGTTGTTACTGTAATCACTATTGCCGCATCAATAACCGGGGCAAACAAAAACAGAAAAACATGGTACGGGACATGGTTGAAACACATTTTTGCAGATTCATTTCTGGCGGAAGTACGGAAGTACGAAGGGTTTTTACGCCTCAGACGGCTTCTCCAAGAAATCCAAAAACGCACAGCTGGCACAGCTGTGGTCGAAATGTGCTGCTTGGATTGCGTTCGGTGGATTTTCCATGCTACAAATCTACAGATATGGCATTTGTTTAGTTATAAGGCAGGTGAAATCGCATGGCATGACAACCCAATGATAACCATAAAAGTTGGATTTATTTTTGGACTTCCGCAGGAATACCTGGTCTTTGATCAGATGGTAGAAAAATCTCGTGGCCACACGAGCGTCGTTTGATCTGCATCTGTGCGGCCCTGGACACAAGGCAAGTCATGATGACCACTCAAAAGGTGGACGTCACTTGTAAAAACAATAGTTGCAACACCCAAATGCTCCATGGTGCTGGTATATTTACCTACATTTGGGTGTTTTTTTACAGCAAATGTTGGTAAATATACCATGCATGGAGCATATGGAATAATAGTATATATATATAATTATATATATAGAGGCATTAACGACAAAATTTGGAAAAACGAATCAACAGAAACACATGATGAGCTGGCCCAATCATTTAGATTTATCATGATTTATCATTTTTCTCCGACAAAATGGGAGATCAGGCCGGACGGTAACTTTAGAAATGGGGTCAATTTGTCAAAAGCAAGGAGCCATAAAATAAAAGTGATGTTCATCATTTATATTTATGGTTCATTGAATGTTAATATTTGCTCTGAATCAAATTACCCTATGTTGGACATGAAATCAGGATCATTCTTAATTCTTAAAGGTTTTTTCTAGTATTCACAATGACCCCTGCAGGCACCATGTGCTGCCTCTCCCAATGCTCCATTGCTCATATTGCATTCAATGGTGACATCTAGCTGCATATTTACAAAATGACACCCGTTAACGTTGTAGCTCGATTTTTAACTTCCCCTGTATGTATGTTTTTCACACAGATACATCCACCGTAACTCCCGGTTAAACTTAAGAAGAAGTAAGTTGGTTTATTAACCCTTATAAACATATGTACATAGATACATGTAACTTACATGTATAAATCATATTTCACTGAGCTATAAACTATCGTTTGAGCACCCTTTCCTGCACGGCACTGATCGAAAAGACGTGTAGAGCAGCTAACCTCCCAAGTGCACAAATGAACTGTTGGAACTGTCCGCCTTAGACTTGATTTAACGGGCTGCAGCTCTGTTCAGTTTTCTGTTGCGAGATCAAATTGATTGGGAGTGTGTGGCGCCCTGAAAAATATAAAGGGTTGCACGTCTCACATCTTTGTGTATCATTTTTTCAGCCATCATTAAGGCGGTATTTTTTTCCACCTGCCATGATCCATCCACACATTTACCATCAAAGATCATGATATGTCCATCAAATACTGAGTTGTTGCACCCTTGTATCCAAAAATCCTACGGATAAACCCTCACAAGGCCGGCGCGAGCAATTGCAGTTTCGCAGCTGACTCGCATGACTGGTTGGTAATTGAATGAGCCGAAACAAAATGCGCAAATCACCCTGTTCATTATGAAATCTAAAATAGAATCGACGTCTCTTCATATACATCTGCGAATCATGATTCAAGTTGTAGTTGTCATCAGTTCATCTCAAACCAACCAGCTGAAAATGTGCAAAAACAAATCAAGACGTACTTTTCGCACCTGGCCAACACCTGGTGCCATCTGGTGCCCTCGCAACGGTCCCAACAATGTTACCAGGATAAATGATTTGACCGGGTGGCAGTTTGTAAAAAAATGCCCACATTCACAGTTGCTCCCAACACATAATCGGATAAATAAAACTATACGTTGTAAACTAGACGTTTGCCCCTGACAGATCCCTTATATCCTTCGATTCGACATGTTCAAATCCCCGCCTAGGGCCAATACTCTTTGTTTTTTGAAGACAACAGCGAGTCCAAAACCCAAACCATAAATCCTGGAAATTTCATACAAAAAACAAAACAAACACTGCGTATTAAGAAAAAATGTGTTGGTTCATCCTCTGGCGACAAATACATAACATTGTTTTGGTCTCCGATTTTGGGCATGAACGAACGTCCACCAAATTTACCACCTCTGTCTGTTGTGATCCTTTACCTATATTTTAGGGTGTGGCCAACCCGTAATTTTATTAGATTGAAACCCTATTTTTGATGTTTGATTCCACTTTTGATGTTAAATCATCTCAAGATCCCGGTTTGGATTTCACCTATGGGGTCGAGACCCCCATTTTGTACCAAAGTCTCAAAGTTCCTAACCTCAGCCATTATAGAATTATGGTTCGCAACCTCCCGAGGATTACGGAAAATGACAACATGATACTGCTACAAAATGAAGATTGGTTTTTATCATGAGGCTACTTGAAGGGGAAATTCCACCACTTCAAAATGAAGATGGGTTTTTATTATCTGAAGGGCAACTAGTTTTGCTACAAAATGAGATTGGGTTTTGACATGTTGCCTTCCGAAGGGCAATTTCCCCTGCTACAAAATAAGATTGGGTTTTTACATGTTGTCTTCCGATGGGCAAATTCTCTTGCTACAAAATGACTTTCGATTTTTAAAGGTCTTTCAACTACCGAAACGTTGAAAACTTATAAAATGCAATTCCCAAGCTGTGGGTACAAAATGCCGGGCCAATCGCCATTTTTTCATCTCAATTTAAGCCTGGAAATGCCATTGAAACGGGGCACAAGGCCTCCCATTCTGTAGTTGAAATTCGAACGGGGATATCTCAAGTCCTTGTTTTACCTCCTTGGAGGCCTCCTGGGGCGGTTACGCTGCGTTTTCAGAAAGGCCTCGAGGCAGTGCGAGTCCAATGGATAGAATCCCAACGAAACCACCAGTGGGTAAAGTGTGCAACATGTTTTTGTGTACACATGTGTGTAAACAAAAATCATATAAACCAAGATTTTTTCTGATTTAAAAAAGGAATAAAAACATATATATGTCAAAATGGTGTACAAAAAATCCTGCGAGTGATCCGCACCAACTGACATTCTACCTGACATATATTCTGACATCTCATCTGGCATTCTTCCTAGCATTCTATCTGACATATATTCTGAATCATTCTGACATTCAATCTGGCATTCTATCTGACATTCTATCTGGCATTGTATCTGGCACTCTATCTGATATTCTATCTTGCATCCTTTCTGCCATTCTGTTTCGCATCTTTTCTGGCATTCTGATCCGGACTTCCCATAGTAGGGTTCGGGCTCGCAATGGGATTCGGGTCCGTGCATCCCCAGACTGAGATCCGGGTCCGTTGGTGCCCATAGCGACATCGAGCTGGCACAAGGTGGTGGACAGCGGAGGAAGACGGAAGGAGGAGAAGGAGTTGCACCTCTGAAAAATGCAGAGACCCTCACCTGGCAGGTGGGAAATATGCGTCCTATATACAAAATTAATTTAAATTTCTTAATGTATCTATTAAATCATTTAACTACCGATTTATTCACAAATATTGAAATATAAAGACATGAATGAAAATAAAGCGATAGATAGATAGATCGAAAGAAAGATAGATAGATAGATCGATAGATCGATAGATAGATACAAAGATAGATAGATACATAGATAGATAGATAGATAGATAGATAGATAGATAGATAGATATATAGATAGATAGATACATAGATAGATACATAGATAGATAGATAGATAGATAGATAGATAGTTAGATAGATAGATAGACAGATAGATAGATTAAAAGATAGATAGATAGATAGATAGATAGATAGATAGATAGATAGATAGATAGATACATAGATACATAGATACATAGATACATAGACAAATAAAAAGATAGATAGATCGATAGATAGATAGATAGATAGATATTTCGATAGATAGATGGCTAGATAGATAGATAGATAGATAGATAGATAGATAGATAGATAGATAGATAGATAGATAGATAGATGGACAGAACAATAGATCGATAGATCGATAGATCAATAGATAGATAGATCGATAGATCGATAGATCGATGATCGATAGATCGATAGATCGATAGGTCAATAGATAGATCGATAGATAGATAGATAGATCGATAGATCGATAGATCGATAGATCGATCGATCGATAGATAGATAGATACATAGATACATAGATACATAGATACATAGATACATAGATACAAAGACAAATAAAAAGATAGATAGATCGATAGATAGATAGATGGATAGATAGATAGATAGATAGATACATAGATACAGAGATACATAGACAAATAAAAAGATAGATAGATAGATAGATAGATAGATAGATAGATATATAGATAGATAGATACATAGATGCATAGATACATAGATACATAGACAAACAAATAGATAGATAGAAAGTTCAATAGTTAGATAGATATAGAGATAGATCGATAGAAATATAGAGAGAGAGTAGGTAAATACATACATACAGACATAGATAGATGGATAGAAAGATAGATAGATGGATAGATAGATAGATGGATAGATCGATAGATAGATAGCTTGATAGACAGATAGATAGTTAGATAGATGGATAGATAGATAGATGGATAGATAGATAGATAGATGGATAGATAGATAGATGGCTAGATAGATAGATAGATAGATAGATAGATAGATAGATAGATAGATAGATAGATAGATAGATAGATAGATAGATAGATACATAGATACATAGATACATAGATACATAGACAAATAAAAAGGTAGATAGATCGATAGATAGATAGATAGATAGATATTTAGATAGATAGATAGATAGATAGATAGATGGATAGATAGATAGATAGATACATAGATACATAGATGGATAGATAGATAGATAGGTAGATAGATAGATAGATAGATAGAACGATAGATAGATAGAAAGATAGAAAAAAAAACAATAGATAGATAGATAGATAGATAGAAAGATAGATAGACAGACAGACAGATAGATAGATCGACAGTTCAATAGTTTGATATATAGATATTTTAAAAAATGCTACCAGGGTTTTGCGGCAGCCGGCAGCTCTTTGCCATTCAGAATGTAGCATGAAAGACATCGATGAGGCAACATATAGCATCCCAATGTCGCAAGACACTTTGTGCTCATGTTTGCAAAAATATGTGCATAATGCATTACCAAAAGAGCAATCCACGTGTGCTGTGTTAACCTGTGCTTATGTGCCTGCATTGCACAAAAACCAAGAAGAAATGCAATGTTTATGCTGAAATAAACGTGCGAAACGATGCAAAACACACCTCCAAGCGTTTTTAAATCCAATATCCGGCATGCAAAGCTTGTACTGTTTGGGGATGGGAAACCCATACTGAGGATACCAATGGTTCATGGCAATGTTTCGCGGAACACGAAACAAATGACTCACCATGGACTTTCGGGGTGCAGTATTTTCACGCAAAGCCAATTTTCCAAGATGCACCACTGTTAAGGGGAATAGACTTTGGGACAGCAATGGCCATATTGGGGTCAAAGTTGGTAATCGAACAAACTGAATGGATCTGAATGGCTTAGTATTGTCCATTGCCAGACTAAGGCAAATCTGCAGTAGGATCAAGTTGCTGCAAATTTAGATATAAAGGTGTCCTAAAATGGGGGTACCCTGAAATCATCGATTTTAAAAGGATTTTCCGCTATAAACCATCCAGCTATTAGGGTACCTCCATGACTATGGAAACCACCATATAGAGCAATGTTGAAGACCAAATCCTGGTGAGCTACTGGTTGCTTGACAATAACCGACAGGATAATGATAATTGCATGTTTATGGTATTAGATCATGATATAAGATTCCCATCATCATGGATTTATGATTAATCAACTTTCAGAATTAATTTCCACCATTTGTGAGTGTAGCTTCCTCAAACTAAGCGACAGGAGTTTTGAACACTTCACAGACCCTTGGGAAATCCGTTGAAATATCCTGGCGTGATGATGTCCCGCAATTTTTATATACCGTTTACCCTCTGGTTATGTCAAAATAGCTATTGAAAATGGCCATATAAATAGTGAGTTTTCCCATCTAAATTGTGATTTTCCATAGTTATGTTAAATTACCAGAGGGTACTTGGGAACATATACCGCCCCTCCATTGTGAAACATGGACCAAACAAGAACAATCAATCCCTTCCCGATGAAAATTGATCATAATCTTGCTAAAAATGTCCCTCTAAATCTATTTGCCAGGAACAGGTAAAACTTGTCCCCGCTTGTCACTATAAAGTGATTCCCACGTGTGAATTGCCATCAGCAAGGTATATCCCCTTTCGAAACAAAGAAACAGCTTACACCAATACCAAGCTTCCCAACTTTCATCACAGAAATCACAGATGCCATATTTCGAAACAAACCGCTTTTCTCAATTTCCGACAAACCGATAAAGTCATATGTTCTCAACTTTTGACCCCACATCTTGACCCCACTTCCACCGCGCCTACCCGACCGTTGCCCTGCTGGCCGCTGTCAGTGTCGGCATCATCGGTGGCATCATCTGTCTCTCGTCGTCCTCCACGGTCTCGAGGCGTGCGGTGGTGGCGCGGATGTGTTTGAAGGACGACTTCTCGAAGACACTGGCCACGTTGATCTCCGGGCCCTGGATGATAAGAGATGAGGCCTGTTTTTTTTTGCGAAAAACATCAGTTGTGTTGTATCTACTTGTTTACAATTGTATCAAGACAGATATGACATGTACTTGCATGCTAATATAAAGTACAGTAATGAATATAATATATATATAATATTTATATATATAATACATTTAGATATTGATAAATAACATTGCCTGAAATCAGAGCCCCAGAAGCAATACGAAACAAAGGAGGATTTTGGTACATGTTGTTTGTTGCTGAAATATTTGCAAATGAGTTGAAACAATGATTTTTCTTATTGTTTGTGGTGGATCGAACAGCAAATACAAACAAACATGGTGAAGCATGGGATTGCTGAAATCATTGGTTTTACTTTTTTCCTCAGCTACCAAGGGTAATACCACTGAACATGACCAGGTTTCGGAAAAGGACGCAGTATACATAATAAACAGTTCTGGCCCTTAACAATGATAAATGGACATATAACCCTATAAGTTTATATCACACCCATTTATAACTGTTAAGGGCTATAACTGTATGTAAACAACCAATGCAGCACTTCCACACTGGCTGGTGTCATCTTGACGGCGGTGACGGGTGCGGTTTCCATTACCGGAAGCCACTGGGCCGCTGGGACAGAGGGGAATTAGGAGAGAACGTCAGGTCTGAAAATGGCGTCTACCCCAATGGCCATTTCAATAGGAGAAAAGTGGCTTGAAGGTACAAACCCAGATAGATCAGGTGGATCTTGTAAGAGATTTGCAAACTGGTGCCCTGTCACAACTCCTCTTGCTGGTCGGTTACAACCCCAACGTCTCCGAATTGCTAAATCCATCGAAATCCAGTTTGGTGTTCCCCGTCGCAAGTCCCTCAAAATACTAATAAGGTAAAAAACAGCGCAGTGACCAAAACCCAGATTACTCCCTATCAACGGATTTTGAACGCTGCTCACAATGGAATGTTGTGCTAAATCCTCAGAATGTTGCGATTATGCACTCCATCATATTCTCAAAGGATTTTCCTTGAAATCGCCATCATGATTGGGATTTCAAATCCCAAACCAGTTGATAATTTCATTTTTATTTCCCTCGCGTTTCCATTAATGCAGCTTAAATTGCCATTTTTGCAGCTTAAATTCTGATTTTGGTCGCTCACATTACCATTCGCGCAGGTAACATGACCATTTTCGCACATACTTTCGGGCAATCAAACCGCGCATTTGGAACCCCACCTCTCTTCCCAGTGCTTGTTGAACCAATCAGTTCTGTGATCAGAGTTCTTGTCCTTGTTCCATTGTTGGAGGACCTGCAGTAGCCAGGTCCCCGTTGTGCTGGTTGTGGTGGCCCTTTGCCACCTGGTTGCGTCCCTTGGTTTTTGCCAACGTTTTCGCTTGGTCGTAGCTGCGCCGCCTGCTCCGGAGGGCCTCCGCTCAGGTCAATCCCCTGCCAAGGATGTGACGTAGTTGAGTTCAGGTTGTATTGACATGGCTGTGGTTGGGCACATGGGAAAACAAGTGGTAGCCCTTGTTGTTGTTGTTGTTGTTGTTGTGGCCTGGTGTGTCTGCCGTGCCGTAGGTAGCCAGGATGGCGCATCAACCACATGCTTCTCTTGTGTGCTGCTCTGCCCCTGTGCTTCAGACGCTCGTATGCTTGGCGTTTGTTCGGGCTGCTAAGGCAACTCGAATGTGAAACTGCTTTCGCTTTTTGTATTGTGATATTCATTTTTTGCTTTGTTTATCCTCGATGATTTTCTCAGTTTTAAATGCACATGTATGGCGGATTTGCCATTGACCATGATTGATTACCAGAGGATAATCTATATGTTTGGTCCATAATCATCACACAATATCACACATATACATTCCATTATTTGTTTAAGATACTCCAACCCAGAATAGTAATCATCCACAACGCCGTGGTGGCGCTCGCACCTCGATCTCCTGCGGGATGGAGTTGGCCAAGATTTGCAAAACCTCTTCGAAGAGCACCTTGCGACTTGGTGCTGAAGAACACAGGTAGCGGTGGTGCAAAGAGGTGGACTTAATGTGCTTTAAAAGATCATTGGGATTTACCTGGATGTCATGGGATAAAATGAAAAAGTCATGATATTATAGTTGGGGAATGATTTTTTTAGGATATGGGCAAGGTTGCGGAAAACATGAAATTATACTGGCTATCACTCGGGAAAATAATGAAATGACCATGTAAAGCCGGTTGATTTAAGTTATAACTGAGTGATTTCCAAACAGTTGAACTCATCAAACGGTGATTTTGGATCATAGTTGAAATTATACTGGCTATTCATCTGCAAACAGCCATGCTTCTTGAATAAAAACTATGTTCACGGACCTTTCGCAACTTCACGGATCTTTCTTTTGCGGGGTTATGGTTATCCACCTTGCCCTGCTGAGATGCGCTCAAACTGCATGTAAACGGGAACCGGGTGAGTGATCTGGCAGACTGCCAAGGGCAAGTACAAGGCCATGTTGAGTACTGCTTTTACGGAATTCTCGCTAAACTTTCTTGAAAAATCCTTCACACATCAGCCAAAAATAAACTCCCTAAATCGTTCTTGGGGGTGCAGCTCCACTTGGTTGCAAGTAGTACGTGGGCCTATTGTATCCCTGCCATATACAATTCAGAAGGTGCCCGCTTCACGTAAAAAAAACATATGGTAAAACACATCATTTAAAAAAACTTTGCAACATATTTCGCCGAAAAAAAAACAAACACTGAAAACAACATCGCAAAGTCCCATGTTGTAACACTGGCGGCCTTTGTAATAAACAATCCCTACATGGACCTTTAGCCCGACTCCAGTATGTATATTTCTGGTTGGATATATATGGTTGGTGGATGGTCGTGGTTTCAACCCCTCTGAAAAATATGAACGTCAGTTGGGATGATTTATTCCCATATGTTATGGAAAAAATCCAACTGTTCCAAACCAACCAGATTTTATATTCCATGGGAGTTAGCCACCGGGGGAATGATAACATCCGGCAGTTCACCGTGAAGACTAAAACCCATCGAACGATGTATTTCCCACCAGTAAATTTAGAAATAGATTGTGCGACGTGGAGTTTGTCAGTATACCCTCTGGTAAGCTAACGTATCTATGGAAAATCACCATGTTTAATGGGTAAATCCACTATTTCTATGGCCATTTTCAATAGCTATGTAGAAAATTACCAGAGGGTAAGCGGTGGTGAAACGGGAAGACCATCATCACCCTTATCGGTTAAAATGGGGGGAAGATCAATCAGAAGTGACGGGATATTAACTGGGATTTAACCTCTAACCAATAGCATAATCACTTACTGGAAAATACTTTTCAGCAGCTGCCCTTCCACATAAACCAAGCTGCCACAGCAGCAACTCTGCAGCTGCACTTGAACAAGCAAAACTAACATCAGCAATGAAAATACCATCATGCCACACACTCAAAGCAATCATATAGGGCAAGGGGAACAATATTTAGTTGGGTTAGTCAGGCGCACTGGCCGTATCCCAGCCCGGCAGCCCAGCAACTTTTTTATTGGACTATACTGGAAGAGGAATTCAAGGAATACTGGACTGCACGTGTCTAAAATAGAGTTACTGATCTACAAAAGGTCAGCGCAAGGCCTATGGAAAGGAATATCCCCACAATTAGATGGTACAGTGAAACGCATCCATTCTGAAGTCAACTTCCGATCTGAAAAGAAATCATTGGGGACATGTTCATGATTCTGACCAGCCAGACGTTAATCATGTGATTGAATGGGAAAGAACTAGTGCTATTATTCGGTGGAAGCAACCAATCTGGCTGAATCGTGACAGCTATAACATGTTATAACCAACCCGGAGAGCTTTTAGCTTCAATGTTCCCTGTACTAAGCATCACTTACGGTGACGTCACGGTCAGGTCGTTTGAATTCAGCAATCGTTTGCCCACCTTTGATTAGGCCGTCTTCCATGCATTATAGGGACAACAACATGTATGGAAGCGACAAGTCTGAACAATCAATTAGCCCTTCGGTTCGACCTAGAAACAGGCATCTGACTTTTGTTCGAATCTCCGGATATATCCGGTACCCCACATGCAGAAACCCAAGGGAATCCTCAGGGCAATTCACCAAACTATGTTTGATGTTCAGCGTTGCACAGGCGGCGCGCCAAATCCAAGGCACCTCGATTTTCGTTTCCATACGCCAAATATCCAAAGCCTTCGCACTGCCACGCAGACGTTGCGCGCCTTCAATGAACTCCATCAACCTTATGCGGGAAAGAAACCCTCAGTAGCTCCAATTGGCTCCCTATTTACTAGGGAATATTCGGAATATATTACCAATGGATCCTTGGCACCCTCTTAACCACTGGATAATTTTGTTTGCCATGTTGAGCTTGTTCATGTTTGCCGGTGTTTACTGCTATTTCTTGCGCAGAATGTGAATCTGTTTTTTCGCCAGCTCCAAATCCCTGTGGGGACGAAAAACGATTTGGCTAGGCTGGGTGTGATGGCACAACGGCTATAAATAATAGGAGACGTGTATGAACTGAATTAAGTGCAAGTGTAATAATAATAATAATAGTAACAATATGAATAATAATAATACTAATAAATAATAATAATATACATACGTTGCGTGGTCTTTACCTCCTAATATCCGCTTCAAACCCTGTTCTGACTGCACGTGGTTTTAGAGATTTCTTTCAGCAGCATCAGATTAAAACAAATATACCGTCGCACGTATCAAACATCAAATAAAATACATAGGAAATACTTCTTCCCAAAAAAAGTAACCAAGTGAACAAAACCAATTCTTTTGAAGGCACCAGGTGATAAACATTGCTAAACTGACAATGCGCAAATCGACATGATCTCCCTCATTGAAGCGATGCCAAGTCACGTGATTTGCCCATCTCCATTGTCCAGAAATGCAAACCTGAAAAAAAAAGCGGCACCCGTCTTGGATCATCATGAATCTCAATGTTTAATTGGTTGGTGGTTGACCTACCCCTCTGAAAAAAATATGAGTTCGTCAGTTGGGATGATGACATTCCCAATATATGGAAAAATAAAAATCATGTTCCAAACCACCAACCAGTTAAAAAAGGATGCAGTCGCCGCAGCAAAGCCTCAACACACACACAGCCTCATTTGAAACGAGACCTGGAAGCATGATTTCATTGGTCTCATGACTGCCCCTACATGTGAAACATGTTGCAGAGCTGCTTTCACACCGAAGTCATGAAAACCTGCCCGTCAGAAGCAAACCATCAAACGAAATCGCCAACATAAGTTAGCTTTTGAACCTGATCTAACTATGAATATTTTGACCACCATGAGTTCTTAACATTTTCTGGGGTAGCACCGACCTAAATTCTGAAGCCGCCTATGGGTCAAGCTCTTGAGGCACTGATGGACACAGAAAAAATGAAGTTTTCAGCATCAAACCATGTTTGCAATAATAATAGAAATCGTGAAATAAAAAAAAAACTTCGACTTCAACTACTCCTCCTCCTCCTGCTACTACTCCGACTGCTTTTACTACTACCAATTACAGAAGAACATGCTTCATCGGCTCGAAAATTAAGGCCTTTTATTTTGGGGATAAATCAAGAATACAGCCATGTGGGGATGATTCCATTTGTTAGTGTCGCAACATACCTTTTCCTGGCACCGTCGGAGGATGACGTCTGGGATCCTCCCGGTGGGTGGTTGGGAACCATCCAAGAAACACATCCGGCAGTATGCCTTCCGAAACGGCAAAAACATGTGCTTGCAATCACCAACCGCACCAGCAAAGAATCAATAGATACGGACACCAAACGCATGTGACATATCAAACTCCCTCATCCTGCTGCTGGAGAAACAAGCTCAGCAAATCGTGGTATTCCAACCTCAGACAGCTCTGCACAAAACGACCGGTTCAGGTTCCACAGATTTCCGCACGATGAGAGATAGCCGGCCTGGTAAACATACAAAAAACTAGTGAAAATGGCCGTAGAAATCGATGATTTTCCCATGAATAATGTGGATCTTTCCATAGTTATGTAAACGTTTACCAGAGGGTAGCCAGCTCATGGTTTCCCCAAAAAAACACTTGTTGCAATGAGCCAGGGGCAATTGCTGGCCGCAACATGGACTTTGGGATCAAAACCTGATCGAATACCCTAGCCCCTGCAAGTACACCTGGCTTCATGGGTAAGGATCACAAATAGAGGATATGTGAAACCCATGGTTTTTCTAGCTACTTGGCGGGCCAAAGCGCTCTCGCAATTATGCCGTAGATCATATGGGAACATCCGGGCGAACTGGTTGAATCATCTTCAACACTCGATCCACGAATAGCGCACGCATGAACATATCATAAATAAATACACCGCATCTAGCGGCTGTGCCCAAACTTGGTTGCACCAGATCCCCTGGTTTGATAGTCATATTGCGTAATATTACCCACAGGCACCGTGTGTTGCCCAGACCCACAACTATGATGTTAGATGATGTTAGATGTTGTTGGATGATGATGATGGTGATGGTGATGATGATGATGATGATGATGATGATTATGATGACCGCGATCGCATCACTTGGCAAGCAGCCAGTGCCCAGTACAACTTGCGAACCCAGTAAAGGCTGGGTGCGGCAATCAAGAAATAGATCATAACATGTTAAGATATCCTGAGGGATTAAAATCTGCCACCCCCTTTGAACTATATTAAAATTAGGAATAACAACTTGATCTTCATGTCATCATGAGGGATTGAAATCCGCCACCCCCTTGAACTCTATATTGAAATGGGTAATAAAATGTCAGATATCTTCATATCATCATGAAGGATTAAAATCTGCCACCCTCTTGAACTATATATTGAAATGGGAAATAGCATGTCAGATATCTTCATATCATCATGAGCGATCAAAATCTGCCACCCCCTTGAACTCTGTATCGAAATGGGTAATAACATGTCAGATATTTTCATATCATCATGAGGGATTAAAATCCGCCACCCCCTTGAACTCTATATTGAAATGGGAAATAACATGTCAGATATCTCATGTCATCATGAGGGATTAAAATCCGCCACCCCCTTGAACTATATATTGAAATGGGTTCAGATTTCTTCATATCATCATGAGGGATTAAAAACTGCCACCCTCTTGAACTATATATTGAAATGGGTAATAGCATGTCAGATATCTTCAAACCAGTAGTACCACACAAGGCGGTGGCGGAAGTTTCAAAAATTGGAAACCAATAGGAGAGGTTGGTTGTTGTGAATCAGGGGTGGCAGAGCGAAGCCACTGATGGAGAAAAAGGTGATTGATATCTTTCACTATTTCTCTCTCTTTCTCTGACTATCTACCTACCTACCTACCTACCTATCTATCTATCTCTCTCTCCCTCTTCATCTAATTACCTATCTATCTATCTATCTATCTATCTATCTCTCTCTCTCTCTCTTCATCTGTCTAGCTGTCTACCTGTCTATCTGTCTATCTATCTATCTGTCTACCTGTCTATCTTTGGCGCAATGTCATTCAGTGTACTGTAGTGTAGTGTAATGTAGTGTGGTGTAGTGGAGTGTAGTGGAATGTAGTGTAGTGTAATGTAGTGTAGTGTAGTGTAATTTAGTGTAGTGTGATTTAGTGTGGTGGAGTGTAGTGTAGTTGTAGTTGTAGTTGTAGTTGTAGTGTAGTGGAGTGGAGTGTAATGTAGTGAAATGTAGTGGAAGGTAGTGTAATGTAGTGTAATGTAGTGTAGTGGAGTGTAGTGTAATGAAGTGTAGTGGAGTGTAATTTAGTGTAGTGGAGTGTAGTTGTGTAGTTGTAGTGTAGTGGGGGAGTGTAGTGTAGTGGAGTGTAGTGAAGTGTAGTGGAAGGTAGTGTAGTGTAGTGTAATGTAGTGTAGTGTAGTGCAGTGTAGTGTAATGTAGTGAAGTGTAGTGTAATTGTGTGTAGTGGAGTGTAGTGTAGTGTAGTGGAGTGTAGTGTAATGTAGTGTAATGTAGTGGAGTGTAGTGTAATGTAGTGTAGTGTAATTTAGTGTAGTGGAGTGTAGTGGAGTGTAGTTGTGTAGTTGTAGTTGTAGTTGTAGTGTAGTGGCGTGTAGTGTAGTGTAATGTAGTGAAGTGTAGTGGAAGGTAGTGTAGGGTAGTGTAGTGTAATGTAGTGTAGTGGAGTGTAGTGTAGTGTAATGTAGTGTAGCGTAATTTAGTGTAGTGGAGTGTAGTTGTGTAGTTGTAGTGTAGTGGAGGAGTGTAGTGTAGTGGAGTGTAGTGAAGTGTAGTGGAAGGTAGTGTAGTGTAGTGTAATGTAGTGTAGTCTAGTGTAGTGTTGTGTAGTGTAGTGTAATGTAGTGAAGTGTCGTGTAATGCAGTGTAGTGTAGTGTAATGTAGTGAAGACCCAGTAAAGGCTGGGTGCGGCAATCAAGAAATAGATCATAACATGTTAAGATATCCTGAGGGATTAAAATCTGCCACCCCTTTTGAACTATATTAAAATTAGGAATAACAACTTGATCTTCATGTCATCATGAGGGATTAAAATCCTCCACCCCCTTGAACTCTATATTGAAATGGGTAATAAAATGTCAGATTTCTTCATATCATCATGAGGGATTAAAAACTGCCACCCCCTTGAACTATATATTGAAATGGGTAATAGCATGTCAGACATCTTCATATCATCATGAGCGATCAAAATCTGCCACCCCCTTGAACTCTGTATCGAAATGGGTAATAACATGTCAGATATTTTCATATCATCATGAGGGATTAAAATCCGCCACCCCCTTGAACTCTATATTGAAATGGGAAATTACATGTCAGATATCTCATGTCATCATGAGGGATTAAAATCCGCCACCCCCTTGAACTATATATTGAAATGGGAAAAAGCATGTCAGATATCTTCATACCAGTAGTGCCACACAAGGCGGTGGCGGAAGTTTCAAAAATTGGAAACCAATAGGAGAGGTTGGTTGTTGTGAATCAGGGATGGCAGAGCGAAGCCACTGATGGAGAAAAAGGTGATTGATCTCTTTCACTATTTCTCTCTCTTTCTCTGACTATCTACCTACCTACCTACCTACCTATCTATCTATCTCTCTCTCCCTCTTCATCTAATTACCTATCTATCTATCTATCTCTCTCTCTCTCTCTCTTCATCTGTCTAGCTGTCTACCTGTCTATCTGTCTATCTATCTATCTGTCTACCTGTCTATCTGTAGCGCAATGTCATTCAGTGTAATGTAGTGTAGTGTAATGTAGTGTGGTGTAGTGGAGTGTAGTGGAATGTAGTGTAGTGTAATGTAGTGTAGTGTAGTTGAATTTAGTGTAGTGTGATTTAGTGTGGTGGAGTGTAGTGTAGTTGTAGTTGTAGTTGTAGTGTAGTGGAGTGTAGTGTAGTGTAATGTAGTGAAGTGTAGTGGAAGGTAGTGTAATGTAGTGTAATGTAGTGTAGTGTAGTGGAGTGTAGTGTAATGTAGTGTAGTGGAGTGTAATTTAGTGTAGTGGAGTGTAGTTGTGTAGTTGTAGTGTAGTGGAGGAGTGTAGTGTAGTGGAGTGTAGTGAAGTGTAGTGGAAGGTAGTGTAGTGTAGTGTAATGTAGTGTAGTGTAGTGCAGTGTAGTGAAGTGTAGTGTAATTGTGTGTAGTGGAGTGTAGTGTAGTGTAGTGGAGTGTAGTGTAATGTAGTGTAATGTAGTGGAGTGTAGTGTAATGTAGTGTAATTTAGTGTAGTGGAGTGTAGTGGAGTGTGTAGTTGTGTAGTTGTAGTAGTGTAGTGTAGTGGCGTGTAGTGTAGTGTAATGTAGTGAAGTGTAGCGGAAGGTAGTGTAAGGTAGTGTAGTGTAATGTAGTGTAGTGGAGTGTAGTGTAGTGTAATGTAGTGTAGCGTAGTGTAATTTAGTGTAGTGGAGTGTAGTTGTGTAGTTGTAGTGTAGTGGAGGAGTGTAGTGTAGTGGAGTGTAGTGAAGTGTAGTGGAAGGTAGTGTAGTGTAGTGTAATGTAGTGTAGTCTAGTGTAGTGCAGTGTAGTGTAGTGTAATGTAGTGAAGTGTCGTGTAATTTAGTGTAGTGGAGTGTAGTGGAGTGTAGTGGAGTGTAGTTGTAGTTGTAGTGTTGCGGAGTGTAGTGTAGTGTAATGCAGTGTAGCGTAGTGTAGTGGAGTGTAGTGTAATGTAGTGTAGTCTACTGAAGCGAAGTGAAGCGAAGTGAAGCGAAGCGACATCTGAACCTCCAAAAGTGGTCCGAACCCCTAGTGTTTTTAACATTATGACTTCCAAATGTGCTTCGCGCCACAATGGCGTGCACTTTTTCGAGATCTCAACTTCCAAAAGTGGTCCGAACCCCAAGTGTTTTAACATTTTGACTTCAAAATGTGCTTCGCGCCACAATGGCGTGCACTTTTTCGAGATCTGAACTTCCAAAAGTGGTCCGAACCCCTAGTGTTTTTAACATTATGACTTCCAAATGTGCTTCGCGCCACAACGGCGTGCACTTTTCGACATCTCAACTTCCAAACGTCGTCCGACACTGAGGTGTTTTGTACATTTTGACTTCAAAATGTGCGTCGCGCCACAACGGCGTGCATTTTTTCGACATCGCAACTTCCAAAAGTGGTCCGAACCTGGTGTGCTTTGTACATTTTGACTTGAAAATGTCCTTCGCGCCACAATGGCGTGCACTTTTTCGACATCGCAAAGTGCTCCGACCATGGTGTGCTTTGTGCATTTTGACTTGGAAATGTGCTTCGCGCCACAATGGCGTGCACTTTTTCGACATCGCAAGGTGCTCCGACCATGGTGTGCTTTGTGCATTTTGACTTGGAAATGTGCTTCGCGCCACAACGGCGTGCAATTTTTCATCTCTCATCTGGCCAGCTGGCTCCTCACCCGCCGCTTTAGCTAGCCTACTTTTCGACCCTCGGAGCCCCAAATCATTGGGAAAACACATTGTTTCGCGACTTTCCTACCTTTTCGCGCATCTGCATCTGCTTTCTTCTGACTCTTTCTCTTCTACTCTTCTTTCTTCTGATCTTTCTCTTCTCTCTGCCTCTTCCCTGCTCTGCTTTTCATCTGTCCATATTGTCGGAAGTTTGACTTCTAAACTTCCTTCGATCATCATGAGGGATCAAAATCTGCCACCCCCTTGAACTATATATTGACATGGGAAATAACATGTCAGATATCTTCATATCATCATGAGGGATTAAAAATACGCCACCCCCTTGAACTCTATATTGAAATGGGAAGTAACATGTAAGATATATTCATAAAACTGCCGGGAACGTCCCTGTAAATCTCCGGGCAACACACAGTGCCTGGCCGTAATATTACCCATCAGCTTGCGATTTTGGGGCTTCACAACCCATCTTCATGAATTTTCAGACAAAAACCCAGTGTGATTTAAGAGTTGCAAGGTGGAACAGCCCAGTAAGAAGATCTTTTGCAGACAATATGGAGGTTTCCACATACATGGGGCTACCCCTGTTCATCATCGATTTTTGTTTGGCATTTTCCATGAAACCAACCAACCAGCGATAAAGGGGGAATCCCCTGCCGGAACCCCCGAGCAACTCGAGCTGACTCATCCAGAACCTTGGGCGACCGATACCCCCTATAGGGTTTCGGTTGGGGGACGTGGGAGGTGCAAAATGAGAAATGGCACCAAAGGTGGCTTGGAAATACCTTGCCTTTGCTTGGAAATATCTTGATTTCTCCATATATGGACAATATAGGCAGGATAGTGGGCTGAATTATCGGCTTAAGTATCTGCTATAGCTCGAAGAAAATGCCATGCATTGCTGATGATGTGTTGCGGATCAGCATCTGCAAAATTGACTGAACAAAGCGTTGAACCAGCTATCGAAGCAATATCTGATGTCTATGCTCATCCACCAGTAGCCCTGCAAAAACACCTATGTCAATATCTAATATATATATATATACTGTAGTCTATATATATATATTTAAATATACTGTAGTCTATATATATATATATATTTACATATATATATAGAGTTACGTAAATACAAACATATAAATAAAACAAATAAATACATACAAACAATTCAATAAAACACAAAAATACATACAAACATAAAAATAAATACATAAGTATACCCATATGTATATATATATATTAATTTATTTATTTTGTTTACCAACCCTTGACTGATTGGCTCAGAGACTTCAACTTGGGAGACTGCACCAGCTTGGTGAACTCATCCAGAGTGATCGCTCCATCACCTGAAGCAACGTTGAGGCCGAAGAAGATGGAGAAGCACCAGGGAATGACCATCTAGACATGCCGAAAAAGCGAACCATGGTGCTGAAATATTGAACAAGATTTGCCCCATAAATCACCCAAATATGTAGGTAAATATACTGTACATGGAGAATTTGGGGTGGAGGGTTTAGATATATTCATGTAATCTGCTTGATTTAGAAAATGAAGAATGATGAAGAATGGATAGTGCTAGGTTTGTCCATTTTCACATGGCCAACTACCATTGGGTAGCTAATGATTGAGGAAAACCATTTGACTTTGGTGCGAACCCATCCTCAACATTAGGCCATTTTCAATAGTATGTCATCAATTTATCACCATGATATGGGTATGTGTCAAAACTCTGGTGTGGAGGAAAAACTGGGATGCATCCATCGGTGTTCCTCAAGACATACCAGCTATGTTGGTCAAAGTACCAGATTTTCTGATGTTCAGCAGCAACTTCAGAAATGAAAACCATGGTTATATGATCGGAATACCATACAAACTACCAATATATGGTTATATGTTCAATTACCAATTATTACCATATACATTTCAGAAATGTTAATCCCCGTATACACGATCTGGGGTCCTGGGAGGTTCCCATGTCATGCACCATGAGCACATCCCAAAAAGAGATAAAAGTAAAATCCAACTAAAATCCAACTACAAAAATCAAACTTCTTTATTTTTTGGGAATGCTGCTACTGTATATGCACATGTATGTGTATATATATATACATATATATATACATATATATATATAAATTGTTAGAAGTGTATGTATGTGTGTATGTGCTTTTGGTTGCTTATTGTATGTATGTGCAATGCAATGTAATGTTTTGAAACAGTGTGTGCCCTCATGCAATCCAATGTGATGTTTTGTAACACAAGGCATCTGTGCATCTTTCGATCGGCCTATGTTATATATCTATTCATGCAGGCATACTTGACTTTACGGGTATCCATGTTTGATGATGTGCACGTCTGAGAGAACATGCAAAAATTGGACATTTTCGGAGTCCATCTAGATATGTGCTCTCAATATGTGTTTTTTTTGAAGGGGTGGATAAACATAAAGGTGTCTGGGGCAGCTACATCGCGTACCAACCACGGCCCCTCCACGTGTCAATCGCGCAAGAGTTTGCTCACGTGGGAGTTCACTATTGCACAGAAAGCAAAAAAACATATGCGCTATACAGTGATCACTCTGGGTCAGAAAGCCATGTTCGCAGGGGGTTCTGTCTGTATATAAACTGGTCTCACAATTGCCATAGAATCGCAGATAAACTGCGCATCCAGGATCAGAAACAATACCATTATGACTTGCACATATCCGCATCAATTACATTTTGCAGCTTTGGTGTTTTGTTATTCTGGCTTGTTTCCTGGTTGCTGCTGTTATGTGTCTATCATCGTCAAGCATCCAAGGGTATAAAGCATACAAATGTCTCTTCTATAACGTTTTGTTTGCCAATGAGGCCCCAACCAGAAACCTATCCCCGACCAATCGCAATGCAATCCTTGTCCGTCACGGATGTACATATAATGGTGAGATTCGCATTTGCGATCAATACCTGAAAAATATGTGAACATATGATTTTTGCGTGTTCAAAACATGGGGCAGGAGCAAACAAAAATCGACAATCATTTCCATCCGCAAAAGACCTCGGAAGACCGCTCTTGAAATCACATGGTTCGTGTTTCCATGACATGCCCCACGAATTCCCACGATATATATCCAATATGACCTGTGCAAAGACATGTCTACACCAAGGAATTTTCCCAATTGGTAAGCGTGTAATAAACATTACATGTTATGCCCCAGTTAAATTTGGGTTATAGAGACTTAAACCGTTTACTATCCAAGCATTTCACACCGAACTCGCAGTTCCATTGTCCAAAACACCGGAACCATCAATGGAGCAGAAAAGTTTCTTCACCTTCCCTGGGGACACCAGTGGCATGGTGGAGATCTAAATGTAATGGGATATAACATGCTATAACCAGAAATGAGGGATGAAACTGACCATGAAACCAAGCAGGAAGCTCGGCAATTCAAAGGTATAGGGGACTTTAAAGTGGGAAGAATACGTATCATATTCTCCCAACTAATAAAACGACCCTGGCACAAGTTGGGGCTTGGAAGACTACTGTCCTGCTTTTTGTTGCAACTGGGATATTCTCCAGGTCAAACTGTGAGTACGGTGACCAGCGGGACGCCCATCAGTTTGTCATGTTTTGTTAACCCCGTCCCTCCAGCATCCCAACGTTCTGTGTCCATGAGCTGTTGATTTCCAAAAAACGACCATTGGTCAGATTTTTTGAGCATGCAGCATGATCCCACAGGATTGAATTCATTCACCGAAGCGGACTGTTCAGCAGCAAATCAGCACTGGCCATGACTTCACTTGGAGGGAACCACGATGAAAAAACTACTCATTGTTACCATTTACATGTTCATAGATGTTGAAAAATGTCCAGATTATAAGTTATTTCATACTAGTTGTTCCGTGTCTAGTAGCATCAAAAATCAATTCCCCCAAATTACTCGCCCATATGATGTCGTAAAATTTGACGGCAAAATTATCCAAAGCTGTGCCATCAAAGCGTCGATTGTACTGCGCGATGTCCCGTTCCTTTTGTCGGAACGCCAGGTCATCGTCGGAACTTGCGGTCTTTAATGCCTCCCGGAGAGCAGAAACAGAGAGCGGAGCCCCCTTTGAGAAAGCAAAAAGAAGGCACGCGTAGGGCCCTTAACAAATGCGAAGGTTAAAATTGGAACCATGGAGAAATATTTTGCTGTGAAAGTTTGTTGAATGCAGATCAGGATAGTTCCAGAAACACAAACTGTTACCTGGCTCATGGTTAAAGACTTAAAGAAAAGGAAAACCAATCTCACACCAAATGTCAGGACCAAACTCATGGGTTCACTGGCCTGTGGTGATCATGAATCATAATGATTGTGCTGCTGCTGCTGCTGCTGATGGTGATGATGACGAGTTTCATGGTATGAGAATGATGCTACAACAATAATTGACACCCCCACCTGCAACCATGACAAATTTCTGCAACAAGCGCCGTTTCCTATCACTCCCAGATAGAGACCTTCCGCCATAGAAAGTATACACGGTAAAAGTACGCAAAAGTATATGCGAACACGGCTTTGTCTGAACATGTGCCTCAAAGCCATTGGTTTACAACCATCATTTTCCCCTGGTTGGTGGTTGACCTACCCCTCTGAAAAATAGTCAGTTGGGATGATGACATTCCCAATATGGAAAGATATTGTCCCATATATTATGGAAAATAAAAGCCATGTTCCAAACCACCAACCAGTGATGGCAGTGGAAATGAATTTGGGCTCATCAGTTCTGCACCAGCCCACCTTGACTTTCAATAGATGAATCACCACAGCTGTTTCCATACGAAAAAAAAAGGTCAACAACTTTGGATGACTTTGGGCACATCACATCCATCTTCATATTACCCACATGCTCCATGGTGCTGGTATATTTACCGACATAACTGGGTGAGTATGATAGGGCATTTATTACGGTAAATATTGCAGCACCATGATCACCATGGACCATATTCTTATTGCGGATTAATGACATATTTTAATCAGATTTACATTGGTGAAATCGATACGACCAGATCCTCATATCCCGGCGACACTTTGTCCCAACCTGTTGCACAAAGACTGCACTAACCACGTTGAGGACCGCGAAGCCCATGACATACCTCCGGCGACGATCGATATCGTTGATGCGCAGCTGTGTGCGTTCTTAAGTGAAGTTCTTCCGCATCTCTGCGTCTGTTTTGAGAACTTTCAAACAGCTTGGAGCCTAGACATTCTGATAATGTGCTTCTGAAGGTCTACTGCTTGATTGGACTGGTCGGTCGGAAATCAAGACATAAAATTCATCCCCTTCTGCAACAAGGTCGTTTTAACATTCTGTTGGTATCCAGAACCAAAGACTTTCAGCTAGAAATCCGAGGTCGGAGAGTCGGATTTACGCAACAGCTTAACCAAGGTCACAGGTTTGGCATTCCAGGAGACCCCTTCGAATCGTTTCCTTCGGGTCGTTTGTGAAGACGTCCCCACCTACGCTGAATAACAACCCAGGGTAGATAAGGGGACGCGGGTCGCATTCGCCCTACCCCAGGGTCACATTCGCCCCTACCCCAACTAGGGTCACATTCGCCCCTACCTCACAATCCTTTCCATAGAATACCTCATTCAACCTTTTAGGGTTTGACCTGGGGACAAGGGACATTTAGGGTGGACTTGCGGACATTGGTTAGGGGGGGACTTGCGGACATTGTTTAGGTCACTTGCCTTTCCATTGAATACCTGAATTCAACCTTTCAGGGATTGACCTGGGGACAAGGGGCATTTAAGGGGGACTTGGGGACATTGGTTAGGGTGGACTTGGGGACATAGGTTAGGGGGACACGGGGTCACTTGCTTTCACATGGGTAATACAACGTAGCATCCAGAGCGTCTTGGAAGTTTCTTATAATGGATTTTACAACGTAGCGTCCAGAGCGTCTGGGAAGTTGATTGAAATGGATGTTACAACGTAGCATCCACAGCGTTTTGGGAGTTACTTGAAATGGATGTTACAAGTACAAAGTAACACTTGAAAGAGACGTCGTAGCTGACTGTCACAGCTGGGAAACGACCCTTTCGAGACTCTGAAACTAGTGCGCCTGCCACGCAAAACAAGGTCGGGTCACATTCGCCCCTACCCTAGGGTCACGTTCGCCCCTACCTCCACAGGGGCAAGTGCGACCCCCGTGCCTTAGACAAGTGACACATCCATAAAACATTTTTCTGAGCTCTCTAGAAGCCCCCTTTCAGTGTTTCACCATGTAGTCAACATGTTGAACAAGACATTACCCATTTCAACCGTGCGATTGGTACCAACCCAAGCATAGGCAGCCATGCTTGTAGCCAAACTTTGATAGGCCCGTACCTTTAAAGCTCAGTTGACAAGAGCAACCAGGTGCTGACTGGCCCTACTTTTAGCTTTTTGAAGGATGGTTGCCTCTTGAGCATTCCACTTTGGACACTCTCTTTGAGACCTACAATTCGGGACCATGGGTCCAGTTGGAGGTTTGCGCTAACCAAAAGCATCGATCGTCCGTATGGCGATCTGCCGGTTCGTGGCCGCATTTAGTCCTGCGGACACCAAAAACCGCCAAGACGAGCGGGCCCATCGGGTCTCTCTGAGGATTGGCCCTTCTCGAACTGAGGCACTGGTCATGTGCCCTTCAAAAACTGCAAGTTGTAACATAGCGGCGGTGCAAGATTGATAGCGTTCTATTGCGGATGTGCGATGATGAAGCATGGCACAGTCAAATGTTACAAGCCGCAATCCCTGTGGAATTTCCAATCTGGGACGTTTTTTCCCTATCAAGCGCTGGCAATTTTTGGGTGCTGCTTTACCCTCTGGGAATCAAGCGCTGGCTTGGAAATCCACCGTCAAAACGGCGATATGGCAAACTGCCCATTGCCATGTTTGATGAGAGGTTTTTTTTAATGAATGATGTTTCAACCAATGACCCATTGAAATGGGTCATTTGGGGCATTTGTCCGAAGTACAAGAAGCACCAAATCCAATCACGTCACACAGTGAACAATGTGGATCATCGAATTCCCAATGTCTTAGTCGGCAAAAATTGGGGACCCATCCCATATCCGCAAGCATCCCATATGGTTCCATGAGTTGCTATGCATATATTTCGCTTGTTTGGGTAAATCTGTGCCTAGCCGCGGAAAGATTTGCAAATACAGAACGAATTATATATCTGACTCCTGAGCTGCAAAGCAAGACACACGGCTAATTTCACGGTTGCTCCCAACACCCTATGGAACAACGAGTTAAACATGATAAGCACAAAATCGCCAATGTTCCTCGATTGCGGCAAGATTCATTTACCGGCAATGAATTACCTTCTCAAAGTATCGTCATAATTTAGCAAAAAGTACTAATACAGTATCATGTGGTATGCAAACCGTCTTTGTGGTACCTGGAGCGTATGGTTCTTTGAGCTTACTCAAAATGAATGACCTGTGTCAAAGCCACCAGACCAGCAATGATCAAATATGTGAAAATAGTAAATGCATGGGTAAAGGTGTGCGGATAGATTTAAATGTCGATATTTACATACATATACATATATATATATATAGAAGACATAAAATATAGGGAGGGGACTGTTGTGAGCGGCTGAAAATTTGCCTAAATGAATGGCATTCTTTTTGGCAAATCCTTCTGATCCAGATATGAACAGGCTGCACTTTAAGTACATACTTGCATCTGTCACCCAACTATGTGCTACTTTTCACCCAACTATGTGCTCAAAATTGCCATAAATCAAGAAAGTCAGGTTTTTATTCAGAAATTATTGGACATCTAGTTCCATGCAATTCTGATGCAAAATCTTATTAAATTCATATATAGTTCTTGTTTAAGAGTCTCCTTGTGAAATATGTTGTTCTTATTGAATGCAATTAAGTAAATACGTCAGAGTCAAAGAGCCATAAATGATCATAAATGTAAAGAAACACAATTCAGGAATAAACAAATTGAAACATATGTGCATCTTAAATAATAGCCTTGAAAAAGGTTCATGAATCCTTCCCGTATCCCTTGCAAAAAAAAAAGAAAGTTTTTTTAAAGATGCAGGGCGTCCCTAAAGATGTACAGCCTTCCATTTAGGGGTAAGCATGTTTCTATAATATGTAGCATGAATTTACGATACTGCATTCCTGTTCTAAGCAATGAAGTATCCCCAGCTTGTAAAGAAACATGTTTCATTAAATTCCATTTTTCCTTTGAAAAAGGACAATGTTTTTTTCAACAAGCAATACCCCTACAATTATGAAGAAATCCTCCAAAAATCTAAAAGATGCAGCATTCGTTTCTGAAAAGCGAAATCTTCTTCCACATGATATCCCTTCAAATAGGCAATATTCCTGTGCCATATGTAGCATGTTCTCGATTTACAACCATCCCTTCAATATGCAGAATTCATGTCAAAAGTGCAATACCCAATGCATCAACACTAAAGTCCTTGAACATCACGTCAAATGACTATGTTGAAGTACCCCACCATAAGACAACTATAGTAGCCTTTTCAAGAAGCCATGTTCCTGAAAAAAGAAAAATAATTGTCTTCACACGTGTAGTATTCTTGTTGAAAAGGTTCAGTTTTTGTTTGTTCCTTAAGAATCAGGTCTTTCTCCAAAGAAACTAGTTTCTGCATTCAATATGAAAGAGCTGTGCATTCTTCTTAATCAAGTGGTTCTATCATTTATGCAGAGAGGGACAACCATATTTCAGAAAGAGTGCTGCATGTGTAAAGGATTACATGTTGGAATCAATTTCCAGTCTCTCTAGAGAAAATTGCATCTCCCTCAAGGAGTTGATAGCTTTTGAAGAAAAACCAACACTTTCCACATTTTTTCGAGGGGTATCATACTCTTTTGATAAAAGGAACACTATAAACACAAAAGAATTCCATCTTGAAATTTGGAATTATGTTTTGATGTCTGAGGAAATCTCGCACCCTTTTCAAAGAGATGGTGCACTTGCTTGAAGGATTATATTCCAGATAGTTAAACATGTTATAAACATTCACTTCAAAGAAGGTCATGATCACAAAAGAACACCATGGTATACATACATATATATATATATATATGTGCATTAATATATATATATATATGTGGACCTTAGTTGGAATTGGTGTTGGAATCTGTTTGCAGAAGGCGCCATACTTGTATGAAATTGTATGCGCATTGAAGGTCTATTCCAGACCATTACTGCACTCTTTTCAAAGATATTACAATCTTTCAAAGGGAATGCACGAAGTCAGGCCACACTTTCTGAAAGGAATATCACCTTCTTTGAAAAATAAGACTTGGGATCACAGATATTGGAAGATTGTATGTAAAAAAAAAACGAACCCATGTCCTAAGTGCACTTTGTCTGCTTTATTTTGTTTCAATTGTTGCGGCATTGTTTTTGAACAGTGCCAAATTCTGCAGAAAATTAGTTGGAAATAGATGAACTACAAAGTTGCCTTCAACCCATGCCCAAGTCTCCGAGCATCTGATTTTCCAAATTTGGAGACAAGAAGGCCGGAACCAGCCAGAGTCATGATGTAGGACGTTACGAATCCAGATTAATTAATCAGGATCATACGAATCATACCACAACCTCGAGAAAACCGAGCAAACATGACAGGGCAAGACGGGACACAGACGCAGAAGCAGACAAGCAGGCCCGAACTAAGAGCCGGAGTCAAGCGAAAAGCCAGGGTTGTGATGTATGATGTTATGCCAGTGATTAATCAGGACTAAACCAGATTAATTAATCATGACTAATCTAAAACCCCCCAAAAAAATGGCAACTAGTCTAGAGGTCAGAGTAGTTGTGAAACCATTTTTTTGTTTGTTTTTGGTTCTAGATTAATCATGATTAATCTGGATGAATTTGGATTAATCTGTGCAGTCAATGCGGAGAATTGAAGGCAGATGTTGGAAACAGATGCGTGTAATTGGACAAATGTAGGGCAGATGTAGGCAAATGACTGATGTAGTGTAATTATGTGGTGCCATGACATGTGTCAGAAACGATTCTTGTGAGGGCAAGCAGTAGGAAATTATTATGATGAAACTTGTCTTCCCCAAAACTTCTGAATTCTGCCGATCACAACAGTCCTTTCCGATAATATAAATATTATATGTATAAATGTAAAAAACATATGTGCATATATAATATAAAATATATATATATATATACTATGCACATATATCTATATATATATACACATATTACACTACGCTACGCTACACTACACTAACTTACTATTGCAAAACACATACATATACACTATAAATATCTACGAATCATTGTGACATGCATTGTTTCCGAAAAAGATATATCGCTCCGTACGCTGCCAGAAGATCACAGTTCTCGCCTGTAGACCAAGAAGAAAACGGAGAACCATTCGCTCACATTCTCCACCAAGACCCGACACCCGGGGCCCCAATTCCTCGGTGATGTTTGGAGACCACCTAGTGGTTTCATGACATGTGGGTTGATAGAAGAGAGATGTTATATATATATTAAATTCTATTTTATTTAATATATAAAATACACATGTATAGATATTACATTATATATATATGATAATCATATTATATTTCAAATACTCAACAAAATAGGTATAACTGATGCTTAGTAGTAACAGTTAGTATAGTGAAACAGCTCAATAGAACGGCAGACACATCGTCTTTTTCACAAAAGACTTTGTTTCATCGAGGACCACTAAAACCACATAACTAAATCAAGGAAAAGCTTGAAAAAATAGTTTCATAATGTTACATAATGTTCCATATCTATTCTATGAATTAAAACCACCGGTCTATCGCAAGGATTCGGCTTCCCGGATGGTTTTTACAAAAAGTGGAAACAAAAAAGGCAGCCAAACCTCTCCAAGCCACGCGAACATAATTTCAAACCTCAGTGATGATCCTATTGAACTAGAAGATGTGCCGCAGAAACAGTGCCAGTATCATGCAGAGTTCAGGTCAGTCTGAGATATTCTGAAATTGTCAAAAACATCCAGATTCAGATTCTGCAGTGATTAAGCTCTGTTCAAAACATCGAACAGCTGACATTGCTTCGGGTGGCATTGACAGGATGGTCCGTGTGAAAGTTCCATAGTACCTTGTCGGCGCCAAAGGGCCAAAAGGAGACACAAAACTTGGACGAGACTTTGAGTAGGGTGGTAGACTTAAGAATAAGCAGCCCAACTTCAAAGGCTTCCAATTTACATTGTAACTTTAGGATACAGCTAGGACATTTGTTATGGTGTCCTAGTGGATTTAGCATCTAGCAGCTTCTTTGCTTTCACCAAGGTTCAAAACAAGGGGATGGGCTTGGCTTGCTACATTCAAACATCCCGTTCGGCCATGGGGTCGTTCTACACATCGAATATCCAGATTCTGCAAGATTCAGCAGCCACGAAGCTATAAAATGGGACAGCCAAAGGTATGCCAAACAAATAATTCAATATACCGTATATTGCTAATTCATGGCAGAAGCCACCTGATGACGAAAAATTGCTCCGCGTGGTCCTTCAAGATGGGAAGCTCTCAATCGACAGTGGCTGCCACTGTGCCACAGGGATCTGGATTTGCTTGCGGGGACCCAGCCGAACAAAGCCAGATCTGACAGCATAGTTTCTAATCTTGAAATGCAGCCTGGACAGTTGTGGCTGGACGTTCGTCACAGGCTTACAATCAGACGTCCCAAAAACATTGCAAAAACTGGCAAAAACGATCGGAAAGCCAATGGTTTTGGAGTCCCTCACGCCTCACGCCATGACAACTGAGACCTGCTCAAAAAAAAACAAACACACCATGAATTGGAAAACCAAAGAAGCAACAAAAATATGCAACATAGCCCAAAATTATGTCTAGCAAAATCATGCAACATATGACCAAAAGTGGAGCATCTGTCCAAAATCTGGGTCGATTTTTTGTATACCTGTGGGGATGACCATACCAGAAAAAAACACCGGATGACCATGGCAATTTTTATGAAATGGATCAAACACCTATCATAGAATCTTGTTTTTTTGGATGACATATGGATGACATCTAAAAATCCTTCAGCTGTTATTTTTCCCAGGGCACCTGCTAAATGTTTCGACCAGCCAGGTGACTGATACACTTGCTCTCTAGCCTCAGGATCATTGTTGGAATCTTTCATGAAGCCTTGGCAGGTCCGAATTCGGGTGAATCCGTTGGGTCAAGTGAAACAAGTCGTGGCGTGAGAAAGTTTCGGCTTGTACAAAAACTATAGATGGGACAATGAGACGTTGGGATACATCAGTACACAAACAAAACCCAAAAATCGAACATATTTCAACTGGTCACCAAGCTGAAAGACAACTTTTTTGGATCAGGATCCATGAAACCATTGCAGAACGAAACAAATCATTCGTCAGATCCCTGGCCGAACATTTTGGGAAAACGATTTTTTGCATTTTTTCTGGGTCAAAATTGAAATTAGTGATCATCCAAACACATACCTATCTGGGTAAATTATAAGAACTCACTAACCTGAAATAAGGCTATCTTGGGGATGATTCCCCTTACTAACCATGATCATAGTGAGGTCGCAGTGAGGTCGTTATAATTTACCCAGACCTGTGGATGACGCTAGAATATGTTTTAACATGATCATCCAACATATTGTCCTCTCATATCCTCTCATTGTAGAACATGTACGCATAGAACAACAACTGGCTATGGGTCAAAACCGTGGCGCCCTCCTGTTCACATCAACATAGCTCGTGCTCATAGATGCCCCGCAACCCCTAAATATGGATAAACACATATTCATTCAAAATGCCCAGCTAGGGCACATCACCGCAATATAAAGGGGTCACCCCAAAGTCATGGATTGTCTTGGAATCAAACAGAAACACATTGAATCATTGATCCATCATTGGGGATCATGCTTCAAGGTAAGCTTGAACAAAAACTAAACCTCATGAAACCACCAACTAAATCATAATTGATGATCATCGGTTATATTTACCCATGGTATTCATCTGCTAGATGTTTTAACTCACCATCATTGATTCTACCTGGCTGAAGTGCAACGGTTGACTAAGCTGACAATAATCTGACAATAGCTGTAATTGAATATGATTGCCAGAATCCTGATAACCGTCATTCAAGTGACATCACACCGTGAAGTCATTGTAATTCATCCAGATGATATCACAATAATACGACCAATATGGTTGATGTTCCACCTTATTGACCAATAATAACCATCAATAATCCCTAATATTGTGCAATTATACCATCATATGAAACAATTTACCGATAGATGGTAGTATACCATTATATGATCCCACTTACAACCCCACTATTTCCAAATGATATGATTTGCAACTTCTCAAATTGGGATACAACGGGATTGTAATTGGGATTAAGTGGGACTGTGATTGGGATTATAATACCCATTGGATCTCCGAATTATAGTCCCAATGGATCTTCCAATGATATGCAGATAGCATGAATATTCATACCATGATATAAATTGTGATTACTCCAAGCAATACAGGATGGGGCCCTCAAGATAGCGTTCAGTTAGTTCAGTTGCCTTACAAAAAATGCTGGATTCTATGGTTTATGTGCAGGATCATGTTAGGTATCATTGTTTTTGCTAATAGACTCCTAAAGATCCAACCATGTCCAAACTTTCAAACGTATTCAAACATTTGCTTTTGCGGTATGAAATTCAATTGATGTGCAGTTCGCATTTGCATACAGATCTTTTTGGAGTTCTGTGGTTTTTGCATGTCCAGACTTTCCAATGCAGCATTGACAGCTGCCCTTTTAGAGATCAAGCCACTGACGTGGCATCTGTGCGCTGAAAACGAGAGGCGCGTGAGGAGTGCACCTGCTTGTGGCCTGCTGGAAACCCCAGCAGGTTTGAGCCCAAAGAGCTCGGAGGCTGCGCATATGGATGTGAGAAGAAGGCTGGCAACGAGAGAAGAGTTGCTAGCTGGAGAAGAACAGATGAAAAGAGCGCAGGAAAGGTTAGCAGTGGAAGCACTAGAGAGAGGTGAACAGGCGATAGAAGATGTTCAACATGCGAGCCAGGAAAAGGAGGTTCAGAATGGAGGTCAAGTTGTAGGAGTTCCAAAAGAGGAAGTTACAGCTAGGTCCACAACACCTCACTTAGAGCATGCTGCACGTCCTAGGTCCCTTCCACTGTCAGTGCCACCGCCAAGTCAGCCACCTGCAGTTTCTCCTGAGGATCTTTTAGGATCAACCTTCAGGACTCCGCAGACCAAACCTGAGGCCAAGGGGCCAACAATGCAAGGAGCCTTGGAGGACAGCCAACTAAGGAACCAGTCGGTTGCGACGGGTCAGAGGAGTTTGGAGCAGGGTTCAGAAGTGGGGTTTCAAGGGCCTAGGGGGAGTGAAGATCCTGGTGGTCCTGGAAGTTTGACGGCCACCCCACAAGTGTCTTTGTTGCCGCTGTTCACTGATGAGCAGTTGCGGCAATCTGCATTCATGCCACCTGGGTCCATGCTTTCAGGGTTGACACCCCAACTCTATCGTCCAACCTTTTTGCAGCAAGAAGAAGAAAGAATGAGAAGTTTGGGAGTTTTGCAATCGTTTGGATACTCCACCATGAATTTCGGAGATCAATCAGCAAGGGAAGATTTGAGACAACTTGTTGATGAAGTCATGGTAGAGAATAGGAGGCTGAGGCAGAGGTTGTATCAAGTAGAATCGAAGTTGCAAGAAGGGGATGTGCGGTTTTCCACTCCAGAAAGTCAGAAGGAGGCCGCAGACCCCCAAAGACAGGAGGCTGGAGGTCCCCGAAGAGAGGAGGCCGCAGACCCCCAAAGACAGGAGGCTGGAGGTCCCCGAAGAGAGGAGGCCGCAGACCCCCAAAGTCAGGAGGCTGGAAGTTTCAGAGAAAAGGAGGCTGAAGACCCCCCTAAAGAAAGAAGTCCGAAGTCAGGTGAAGACTCACCTCAGCAGCCCAACGCAGCTTTCACAGAGAAATCTATTGAGTTCATGAAGCTGATGATGGACTCGATGCGGGAGATGCAGAAGCGCATGACGGAGTCAAAGGAGGAAAGTGGAATGATCAGAGGAGTGGAGGTCATCAGGTCGGGCTCACCCGATTTGCCGGCCTTGTCACCTTGGGAGCCACAGCATGGGCCCTTGATCTTGGGTGATTGGATGTTGTTGGCGGAGCCAATAATCTCAGACCTGTCCATGTCGGCCAGTGAGTGGTGGAAAACCGTGGTTAGACTGGCAGAGGAATGGTACAAGGTTCACATGACTCTCAATCCAATCGAGCGCATCCAACATCCTGCGACGGTCCCAGTTGAGGTCTCACAGGACAAGTGGCAACGGGTGGAGCGCAGGGTGTCATCGATGATGCTGCAAGCGGTGCCGCCACCAGTTCGAGATGAACTGGTCTCAGCTCGAAGGATGTCGACTTTCGGCATTCTGACACACCTCATGGTCACATACAGTCCTGGAGGAGTTACAGAGAAGCAGAGCATCCTGAGGAGTCTTGAAGATCCACCAGAGATTCAGAAGATCAGCGAAGGTCCAACAGCTCTTCGAAGGTGGTTGCGGTGGAGAGCTCGGGCCCGTGAAATCGGGGCAGTGGCACCCGACCCGGCGTTGCAGCTCAAGGGATTGCTGCGCATGACGAAACGGGTCCTGGACCAGAGAGCTTCAGTTTAGGGTGTCGCTTGTCAGATCTGGCTTGGGAGTTGATACCACGCCGACAGAGGTCAATGTGGAACAACTGGCCAATCACCTTTTGGCTGAACTGGACCAACTGTCCATGACGGACAAACGACCTGGTCAAGGATCTGCAGCTCCTCAAGGAGAACAACCAAAGATCAAGTCTCTGGAGTTGGAGAAGGCTGACAAAGGGAAAGGAAAAGGGAAAGAGAAGACAGGAGAAGAAGAAAAAGGGAAGATGAAGTGTCGTTTTTACAACTCTGAGGGTGGGTGCAAAAAGGGGAAGGAGTGCGAATGGTTGCATGAGTCTCGAGATGACAAGCGCCGATGCTGGACCTGCGGCGCTGTCGACCACATGTCGCCGGCGTGCTCAAGGCCGAAAGGAAGTGGAGGAGGCTCCCCTCAGAACTACAACAAGCAGAAGTTGATGAAGTCAGAAGCTGAGGAGAAGTCAGGAGGGCAGAAGGAGAGCTCCGACACTCAGTCAGTTTCATCGGAAGGCTCAATCAAAGAGCTCTTGGAAGAGGCAGGCAAGATGCTCAAGTCGGTCACTGGTGAGGGATCGGCGATGTCCTCAAATTCGACATCAGGAGGTGGGGACCAACGTAAAGACCTCATGGATCGTCTTCAACAACAATTGAAGGCGTTGAGAACCTTCAAACTGCAACAGTTGAGCTATGGGGAGCATGTAGGGTTGGTCGATAGTGGGGCGACCAATGCACTTCGTCCCATTCGTCAAGGTGAAGATTGCTCCACCTACCCTGAAGTTGATGTTTCATTGGCCAATGGGAAGTCTGTGAAATTGAAGATGAGCCCTGGAGGATCAATGTTGGCTCCTGACATGGAGACAGAACCCATTGTACCGATGGGACAGTTGGCTGAAGTTTTGCACTGCGACATCCAATGGAAAGGCGGCTCCATCACCATCATTCACCCTGAAAAGGGAGTGCTTCCCATCGAGATGAGGGGGAAGTTGTCCACATGTTTCAAAGAAGGTGGCGTTGGAGTTGATCGCAGAGCTGGAGGATAGAAGGATGGGTCTGCCAACAAAGGTAGAAGGTTTTCACCGTGAGGAAGCATGGATGAGAGATTTGATCAAGACGCATCCGGTGCTGTCAAAACTACCTGACCATGTCCAACAAGCCCTTGTTGTTCCACCAGGAGATTGGGCCGATTTGCCTTCCAACCAGAGACTGAGGAGACTTTGGAAACAAGAAGGTTTGGTGGCTCATTTGTATGCCGGAGCTGACTCAGGGTTTACTTTGAAGAGGGCATGGAAACAGCTAGGAGGTAGAGAAGATGTGTTGCTGGAGTTGGATGTCGTAAGAGGAAAGGATCACAACATGCTGCTGAATAAGGGAGCCTATAGTGGCCTTCTTCGATGTGCATTGGAGGGGAAACTGAAGGGAGTTGTTGGCGGTCCGAACTGCCGAACCAGAAGTCTCCTACGTCACATCCCTATCCCTGGTGCAACTGATGCTCCGCGACCAACTCGAGGGTGGTTTGGAGAAGAGTATGGCATCAATGATGCAACGTCTGAGGAGCTGGAAAAGATCAAGGAGGATGACATACTTGCTTGGAGAATGGTTTTTGTGTTCGTGGTTGCCACATACATGAGGAGGGCCATGGGGATTTCTGAGAAGGTAGCATTTGCACTGGAACAACCAGCTTCACCGTGTTCATACATGCCGGAGGTTGTGTCATGGTGGGAAACATGGGAATGGAAAGAAGTCGCAAAAGAGTTTGGGTTGAAGGAGGTCACATTCATGCAGGGTGAAATGGGAGGTCAGTCGTCGAAGCCAACAACCATTGGAGGAAACTTGGATTTGGATGTCCAGGCCAACAGGATGAAGAGAAGTGGAGGAGTCATTCGAAGCTCGAAGGAGCTTTCAAGATGGGCTCCTGGGCTGATGACTATGATCTCACAAGCTCTCTTGAAGGAGGTCTTCCAACAAGACCCTCGTCTTTGTGCACTCAGTTGGGAAGAACATTTACGAATGAACCATGTTCCATATCGACGCGACTGCCTTGTTTGTCAGCAGACTTCCCAAGCAGCACCACATCGCCGAGTTCGGCATCCAAGAGGAGGAACTTTGTCTTTGGACACAACAGGTCCACTTGCGAAGGCCAAAGATGCTGAAGGTTCAACCGCAAGATATATCCTGGTCGGGGCCTTGACATGGGCAGTCCCGGCAGGGATTCCAAGGCTGAAGGATGCTCAGATTGAGGATGACTTTGAGGTCCCTGAAGAAGCACCAAAGATTGAGGAGGAAGAAGAAGTAGAGGAAGCAGCTGGACCGGTCCGTGTTGAAGGGGGGTCGGCAGAGAAGGGGCTGGCCCAAGCACTTCCACGTGAGCGTTTCCACGAGGGAGACCAGCCTGAGGAGACAGGCGATACCTCGTGTGATCCGCGTCCAGCTGAAGAAAGAAAAGAGGAGGAACCCGAAGAATTCATCACCAAGGTGTTTCGAGTTGCTCTCCCGATGTCATCCAAAAGGTCTGAAGAGGTGACAAGAACTGCTATGGAGATACTTCTTCGCTTGAGAGCGGATGGGTACTATGTCAACAGGATCCACGTGGACAAAGGCCACGAGTTTGCTGGCCACTTCATGAAATGGATCCACACTCGGGGCATTGAACTGAGTCGGACCCCTGGTGATGATCCCCAGGGAAATGGCCGAGCTGAGCTGACGGTCAAGTCCATCAAAGCGCAGATCAGACGCACTTTGCTTCAAGGAGGGGCAACTGAGGAAATGTGGCCTTGGGCATTGCGATATGTCAACGAGGTCAATCGATGCTGGCGCCAGGGAATTGATCCTACATGGCCGCCGTTCATGAAACAGGTCCTGGTGAGAAGGAGGAGATGGAAAAGAGGGAGTTTTGATCCCACAATGGAAACGGTGCGGTATTTGACACCTGCACCGGAGTCCCATGGACATTGGATAGTAGGAGAAGATGAGAAGCCGAGGCTGACGAGATCAGTCATGAAGAAGGCGGAGCTTCCACCAGATGAAGCACAATGGCTGGCGATCGAGCAGGAGACAGTTGATGCTTTGATGAAAAGACGGAGGATTCGTCAAAAGTCAACTATCAGAAGCTTTCAGAAGGATGAAGGCGCGGACTGCGAGAGGCAAAAGATACAGCGAGGTGTAGAGAAGTTGATTGCAGAAGAGATGCCAAGAATGGTGGATGATCACCCAGACTTGGTAGCGCAAGAGATGAAGATTCTTCAAACTTTGAAGAAAATGGCAGAAGTGAAGGAGGAAGAAGAAGAAGTTTTGCAGACTCGGGTGATTTCACCGAAGGAGGTGGCCCGAGATTGGGAACAGTGGTTGCCAGCAGTGCGTGAGGAGGTGAATTCCTTGCTGACTGAGAAAGAAGCGATTCAGGAGATCAGCAAGACAGAGGTCGAGGCTTTGATACGAGAAGCTCATGCCAGTGGAAAGAAGGTGGAGATTCTTCCATCAAAACTAGTTTGCACCGTCAAACCAGGACCAAATGGTGGACGCCGAAAAGTCCGCTGGGTCATCTGCGGAAACTTTGAGGAGAAGAAGGCTGAAGACACCTTCAGCAGCGGTGCAGATGCCGCAGCGTTTCGCATTTTGGTCACAGCAGCTAGTTTTTTCCAGTGGGTTGGAGGCACAAGTGATGTGAAGACTGCATTTTTGAATGCAGATATGAAGATGTCAAGCCCCGATGAGGTCTTGCTTATTCGACCTCCACCTATCACTTTGGAGAAGAAGTACTTCACCCCTGGCACCTGTTATCTTCCTTTGAAGGCTGTCTATGGACTGAGGAGGTCACCGAGGCTGTGGGGAGATTGCAGGGATGAGTTTTTGGTTGAGGTTGAGGTGAAGCTAGAAGGCGAGGGAACAGTTTTGCATCTATCTCAACTGGAATCAGAGCCAAACCTGTGGCGGATTGAGGAACCGCCCAAGGAAGAAGGAGTGACATCTCCTTTGAGAGGACTTCTCATGACATATGTTGATGATATCTTTGTAGCAGCAGAAGAGGAGGTGTCGTCAGCAGTCATTGAGGCCATTCGTCAAAAGTGGAAGACCAGCGAACCAGATGTCGTTGGAGAGAAGCCCATCAGATTTTTGGGCATGGAAGTGACCAAGGTGAAGAATCAGGAGACAGGCCGCGAGGAATGGTATGTCACCCAAGAATCGTTCATCAAAGATCTCCTTCAGAAAGACCCAGAGGAGAACAAGAAAAGAAAAATCCCCATCACACGGGATCAAAGTCTGATGCCAGCGGAGTTGGAGGAGAATAGAACACCAGAAGGCATCAGAGAGGCACAGAAAGCAGTCGGAGAAATGTTGTGGCTGGTAACCAGGTCAAGACCAGACCTCATGTTTTCCACTGCTCGTATTGGGGCCAATGCCACCAAACATCCGTCACAAGTCATGGCCATATACCAGCAGCTCAAGGGGTATCTCAAGGCCACTGAGGATGAAGGTTTGGTTTTTTCCACTGATGGCCAAGGACCCATCATGATTGAGGCGCTGGCAGACGCTTCATTTTCACCAGATGGAGAAGAGAGCCACGGAGCTTTCCTCATTCAAGTAGGAGGCTGTCCTATTTTTTGGAGGTCAGGAAGGCAACAGCTTGTTGCACTGTCAACTGCCGAGGCGGAGATGATGGAGATTGTCCAAGGCATGTTAGCAGGTGAGTCAATTGCAGTGATAGCTGAAGAAGTTTTTCCTGAAGTGATCCGAAGAGTTTGGTCAGACAGTCAAGCGGCCATCTCAATTTTAACGAATGAGGGAGGGAATTGGCGTACTCGCCATTTGAGAATGAGGGCTGCAGCAGCCCGTCAATCAATTTCCAGAGGAGATTGGGCGTTGCAGCATCAAATGGGCGAATCCATGATTGCCGATGTTGGAACGAAAGCACTGGCATCACCAAGGTTGGAAAAGCTCAAAAGGGAAATGGGCATGAGGAAAAGACCAAGGGTTGAAGATCCCGAACTGGTCCGTGTTGAAGAGGGGTCGGCAGAGAAGGGGCTGGCCCAAGCGCTTCCACGTGAGCGTCTCCACGAGGGAGTCCAGCCTGAAGGAGCAGGCGATACCTCGTGTGACCAAGGTTCAGGGGTCAAGGGAAGGGTGTCGGTTGATTTGGCTGACACAGAGAAAGTGAGAAGAGCGATTCAGATCATCACCTTGGCAGCGATTGCGTCAGGAGCCAAGGGTCAAGACGAAGAAGAAGAGGAGAATTTCCAAGAATTTCATCAACTGATGGTCATTTTTGCTCTTTTGGTGGTCTTGATCACCATTCTTTGTCAGCAGCTGTGGAAGATTGGTTTTGGGCCAAATCGGGGGCGTATGCAGACTGCAACACCCGTGGAGAGCTCAGCTACCAAATCAAACGAATCAAGCTCCGCTGCCAAAACGCTAGAAGGAAAAGAAAAGAAAAGCTCCGCAACCAATACCGATCGAAGCTCAGAAGTGAGAACTCCAGTCGCTGTTGCGTCTGGTGCATCATCAAGTCAAGATCCTATTACGCCTGATGTCCATGGTCGAGTCTCGTCGGCTGGAGGAGAGCTGGTGAGCACACTCCCATGTGAGCCGACGCTCCGCTGCGGTATGTTTCAGCGTGATCCATCAGGTGGGGGTGAAGAAAGTTCTGAGAGTGAATCATCATCGACGGAAGACAGTCTTGCCGACAGAATTGTGTCGGAAATTCATCAAATTGAACGAGAAGAAGGAGAATTGTGGAGAGAAATAAGGGGTCGGGCAGACCTCAGCAGGAGTGCTCTTCCAGAAGGGACAGATCCATCCTTTCAACTGCCTTTTCGTATCTTCACCACGCGATATGGTGTGGTTTACCATGCGTTGATGAACTGCAACTACGTGCGGGCACCACAGACTGGACCAATCCGTGAGTCTGAGTGGTGCCATTTGTGTCGAGAAGTTGCTGAGAAAACGCGTGGAAGACCACCCCCAGGTGTTGAGATCATGTTGGCTGGTTGGGGAGGTCCTGCTCACACAAGTGATCAATGTCCGTTCAGCACTGGAAGCTCAGTTTTCAAAATGTGCACGATGTGCGACAGACTTCTGAGAGAAGGTAGGGCAGTTTGAGTATTGAGGTTGTGATCTCCTGACGAAGTCACAAAGGGGGAGCGCTAATAGACTCCTAAAGATCCAAAACCATGTCCAAACTTTCAAACGTATTCAAACATTTGCTTTTGCGGTATGAAATTCAATTGATGTGCAGTTCGCATTTGCATACAGATCTTTTTGGAGTTCTGTGGTTTTTGCATGTCCAGACTTTCCAATGCAGCATTGACAGCTGCCCTTTTAGAGATCAAGCCACTGACGTGGCATCTGTGCGCTGAAAACGAGAGGCGCGTGAGGAGTGCACCTGCTTGTGGCCTGCTGGAAACCCCAGCAGTTTTAACCACTACCAGTAGTAACGCACAAGGCGGTGGCGGAAGTTTCAAAAATAGGAAACCTATAGGAGAGTTTGGTTGTTGTGAATCACGGAGGGCAGAGCGAAGCCACTGATGGATCGAAAGGTGATTGATGTATCCTCTCTTTCTCTCGCTTTTTCTCTCTTTCTCTGATTATCTACCTACCTACCTACCGATCTATCTATCTATCTTTCTTTCTTTCTATCTATCTTTCTATCTATCTATCTATCTGTCTATCTATCTTTCTATCTATCTATCCATCCATCCATCCATCTATTCTATCTACCTATCTATCTACCTATCTATCTCTCTAGCTACCTATCTATCTGTCTATCTATCTATCTATCTATCCATCTAGCTACCTATCTATCTGTCTATCTATCTATCTGTCTATCTATCTATCTATCCATCTGTCTATCTACCTATCTATCTACCTATCTACCTATCTATCTATCGATGCAAGCACCCATGCAATGCCCAATTGCTCAATCACCCTGCGTTTCTCAGAGTTAAAAACTGATTCAAAAATGATTGAAAAAGCAATTCTGTGAGACTTCTTCGTTTTTCAAAGTTGACAACATCAAAAACGAAGCAACTCTGCGAGACTTCTGCGAGATTCTGCGAGACTTCCTCATTTTTCGAAGTTGACAACATCAAAAACGAATTAATTCTGCGAGATTTCCTTCAAACATGGAAAATTGCGTGCAGCGCTGACGGCCTCGTACCAATGCTGTCTAAACTACTGCGCCTGCCACGAAAAAGTGATGCCAGGTCATACGAAGTGCTGCACCTGTCACGCAAAATCATCTCATCAAACTCGAAGATCTGAGGCTCCAAAATGCAACCCCTCTCAGGAAACCAGCGCGCGGACCGCCTAACAGCTCTGATGAAGATGTCTCTTGTACTGCGCCTGCCACGGAAAATGCAACTTTGAAGATCCTCTTCAAATGTCCCACACCTGCCATCGTTTTTGGAAATGCTACAAAGCCCTCACGTTTTGCTAACTTTTGAGAAGGTGCACAATCCCTTGCGCCTGCCACGCGAAACGACATCTGAACGTCCAAAAGTGCTCCGAGAATGGTGTGCTTTGTACATTTTGACTTCGAAATGTGCTTCGCGCCACAACGGCGTGCAATTTTTCATCTCTCATCTGGCCAGATGGCTCCGCACCCGCCGCTTTAGCGAGCCTACTTTTCGACCCTCCGGAGCCACAAATCATTGGAAAAACACAGTTGTTTCGTGACTTTCCACCTTTTCGCGCATCTGCATCTTCTTTCTTCTGACTCTTTCTCTTCTCTGATCTTCTCTCTTCTACTCTTCTCGTCTCTCTGACTCTTCCCATCTCTGCTTTTCATCTGTCCATATTGTCGGAAGTTTGACTTCTAAACTTCCTTCGATCAATTCTTATGACCAATTATATAGGAACTTTTTTTTTACCATTCTCCCATTGCTCCAATTTGATGGTCCTAAAAAGCACCAGGACCATTGCCAAATTTACCATTTTGATGGATCCGCCAAGGGCGGCCATCATCCAATGTCTGTGCAATCAAAGGCCCAACCAACTTGACTGTCTGGGTGTTTCTGCAACAACGACAGGTGTGAAGTTTGAAGGCAAGCGTGGTTCCACGCAAGAGGGCCATCTGGCGCAGCACAAGTCTTCAACAGCATGGCATCAAGCAACTTGGCCCACGCGCACTGCCGACTTCAGTCCACTCTTGAGCGGCAAAAAAAATCAGCCTTGTATTCGGCACAATTCTCACCTGGGAAGCGACCACCTTTCCAAAGCAGTCTTGTTCAGACTCACAACAACATTGAAATTGATTGATCCCGACACCATATCAGCCCGAAAGGCTATAGCAAAGCTCACCCACCACGATGCCCGCAACACCTTGGCGCGGACGCAACATGGCTGAGTTCAGGAGGATTTTCCATGGCTTTTCCATGGGATTTCACCAGGCAAAAAAAGGTGAACGTGGTGAACCGGAAGGGATTTCACCGAGATTTCCATGTTGGCAGTCCATGGTGATGAGATGAATGGAATTTGAGTGGATCAACACTCCATGAAAAAAATCGGCATGTGCTAAGGATTCTTCCAGCTGGATATCTGGATCATGGGGAGAAATCCACGCGCATGTATTTCTGTTGTGCGTGTGCATGGTATGTGGCATCTCCCGCAAATCTCTTCAGAGTTCTTCACAGAAACTCGTGGTGGCTTGGGAAAAGCTTGGAACTCCTGGTTTTACCAACTCCAAATCCTAAGGATCATAACAATATAACTTGCACTTTTCCAGCGTTCTCCAATATCAATGGTAAGTAACGCTTGGAGCCTGAGAATCACCAACTTTTAGTTGAAACTAATCTTCCAACCCCGGTGATATGAAAAAACCAGGGTCTATGTTAATTTACTGGAGGGTAGAAGCGATACCATGATGAAAAAAACAAGGTTTTTCGCCTACAGCCTGGGGGCAGGGAATGCTACTCATCCTGTGGAGGTCGCCCGCATCAGCATGAAGCCCATTGTTGCTGTGGGTATCTATTGGTGGGGTGCTTCTCTACAAAAAGAAATGCAGATTTGTTCTGTCAATCGGAGATTTCATCACATTGATCACAGGTTTAGGTTTGGTTGGTGCAACACCGACAGGTTTGTCCCAAAAATGAGGAAACCACCAATTTATTGCGTTTTTTGCGTTGACTACAATTCCGGCACATTGCAACTTCATACCGAACATGATGATCAATTTATCATTTGGAGCAAGATGGAGCAAGTATATATTCATCCATGGGAATGTGGTTCCAGATGTTCATGAAACTCCTGGTGTTGCTGGTGTTGTGCTGAAATGTCCATCCCTGGGTGATTCGTTTGGGATTCGTCAGATTCGTCCCAGCTGCACTGTACGAAGCTCAGCAACAGGAAGCTCCAGAAGAGCATGCCCACGCATGCCTGGAAGGGGAACTGCTCATGGGCAGCGGCAAGGGTTTTTTATTGTGAAATCCATGTCTCTAGGGGTCCATCCCCATGTCCGAGACCAGACCCAAATATAAGAAATTGCAGTTTTATGGTGTATATATATATACTGTATATATGCAGCCTATCATATCCAAACAGCTTAAGCAACTTGATCATATATTGAAGGAATATGATGGGCATATCCACACACCCATAGGGATATGTAGGAACATCCCTGGTGTGAGTGAGCTTTAACCCCAGCACTGGACGAACCGCACTTATCACAGTAATTCTCATGAGGTTATAACCCGCTTACGATTCCTGAGGCAAACATGTTGGGTAAACACCATCCAAAAATGTTGGCTAAAGACCATCCAAAAAAGTTGGGTATATATGGAGGTTTCCAAAAATGTGGCTACCAAAAGCTGGATGGTTTATTTCATGGAAAATCCCAAACAAAAAAAGCCCAATAGCTGGATGGTTGATTTCATGGAAAATGCTACTAAAACCCAAGCTCGCTGGATGGTTGATTTCATGGAAAATCACAAACTAAAATGGATGATTTGGAGGTATCCCCATTTTAGGAAACATATGGGTGACCATCCAATGTCACCGTCGCCTCAAGACACTTGGTGAGTAAATGCAGAGGCGCCAGAGCTCTGGTGATGTTGAACCTGGGTGGTGCTTCATCGGCCATGAATTTTTAGCCGTGCATCACCAAAAGGATGGTTCAAACCCTAAAAATAAAATTAATATGAAATAATAGGATGTTTACCACCTATCAACTGGTGTGGATTTCTTCCATCCACCGAACCATCAGATTTTGATGCTCATAAATTGATAAATGAGTGACACATCATTTAATGAGGATGTTTAAACAAATGAAAAAATGATCTCATGATCAAACCACCAAGAAGTTTCCATTTGAGACTTTGTGGCGGATAATTGAAGCCAGTATATTTTGGAGTGAAATGGTGAATACATACATATGTACATATATATATAGAGAGAGAGAGAGACACAATATTAAAATCCAAATATGTATATATATATATATATACAATTATATAAATACAATTAAGATAATATATAACTAAACTGATATATAGTCTGAAAATTGGGGATTGACACCCTCAATTATTACCCCCGGTCGTACCGCTCAAAAGGGTCCAGTCCTGGAAAAAAATGCCTTAAATCGTTTGGTCCACAACCTTTTGGAATTGATTTCCAAAGGGTACAACCCAACAGATTTAAGCCAACAACCAAGTTGCAATTTCCCGGGCAAACAAATTAAAATCCTGTTCCACAACCTTTATGTGGACTAACATGTCTCCTGGCCCACCATTGCGCTGACACAACTCTTTTCCTGGGTCATAACCTTTATGATGATACATGTGTACCTACCCCATTCAGATCGTCAAGTCGATTGAATTGGAAGATCACGACCTTTCAAAAACTGCTGAGGGTTTGGCATAAACACTTTTCTTGTCATATAATTCAAATCCTGGGTCACAGGGTTTCCACCGGCTCCATCATTTTTTTGCTCGCATGCTGTCAAGATCTTTCAAGACGGGGAGATGGATGACACTAGGCTTTGGAGGTCCAGAACTGTTTCTCTCTCTCTCTCTCTGTTGGAAATGACCAGAAATGATGTGTCCTCTCTACATGATTGTTGATCCCCGTCGGTACAAAAACGTGGGGTACAGTCCTAGAAAAAAATCGGTCTAAAATGATGACCCCTAACCTTTGAGAGAGGTTTTAGAGCTTTAAATTCCTGGCTCCTAACCTCTGAAGCCGAAATCTCACTTCCAACCACCTTTTTGAATTTTCTTTGCTAATTTCGTGGTGCCCAACGTCCAACATCCAATAAATTTACCCCTCTCATATCCAAGTAAAAAAAAATATTTCCTGGATGCTTGCGTTGGTAACATGCCATATCTTCCCCCCCTCAATCTGATACGGAAAAAAAATGAATTCCTGGCACCTGACTTCCCGGCTGACAGCTCGCAGTTTTTCAGAGTCCACGGCTTCACGAGTGCGGTCCGGCAGATGCCCACGGCAATGCGCAACCCTTTTGCATGGACAAATGTATCTTCAGGAAAAAACGCCTGTTTTGCAATTTGGCCACACGTTGGAACAAAATTCTTCAATTCGTCCCATCATTTCCTATCTATGGATGGTTGACCTGGTGATAAGATTTTTTTCCTGTGGGGTCAGCCTTTGAAGATCATCCACAAGAATTCGGCCAAAAAAAGGTCCAGCCCCTTGGATTTTATTTTTGACACCTGCGCCTCGGCCTCTTCAAGTCACCTTTTTTTGGTTGGTGAAGCTGAAGATATGTGGTTGTACCCTTTTGCAAGGACAAATGCATTTTCAGCAAAAAACATATGTTTTGTAATTTGGGCGCGCGTTGACACAAAATTCTTGAATTCGTCCCATCATGTCCTATCTGTGGATGATTGGCCTGGTGATGCGACTTTTTTCCTGTGGGGCCAACCTTTGAAGATCATCCGCAAGTATTCAGTCAAAAAAGGTCCAGCCCCTTGAATTTTATTTTTGACACGTGCGCCTCGGCCTCTTGAAGTCACCTTTTTTGGTTGGTGAAGCTGAACATATGTGGTTGTACCCCTTTTGCAAGGACAAATGTATTTTCAGAAAAAAAAAGCCTGTTTTGCAATTTGGGCGCGTTGACACAAAATTCTTGAATTCGTCCCGTCATGTCCTATCTGTGGATGATTGGCCTGGAGATGCGATTTTTTTCCTGTGGGGTCAGCGTTTGAAGATTATCCCGCAAGTATTCAGTCAAAAAAAGGTCCAGCTCCTTGGATTTTATTTTTGACACCTGCGCCTCGGCCTCTTCAAGTCACTTTTTTGGTTGGTTAAGCTGAACATGTGTGTCTGTACCCTTTTGCAAGGACAACTGTATTTTCAGAAAAAAACATGTGCTTTGCAATTTGGGCGCGCGTTGACACAAAATTCTTGAATTCGTCCCATCATGTCCTATCTGTGGATGATTGGCCTGGTGATGCGACTTTTTTCCTGTGGGGCCAACCTTTGAAGATCATCCACAAGTATTCAGTCAAAAAAGGTCCAGCCCCTTGGATTTTATTTTTGACCCCTGCGCCTTGGCCTCTTGAAGTCACTTTTTTTGGTTTGTGAAGGTGAACATATGTGTTTGTACCCTTTTGCAAAGTCATGTAAAGAATCATACCCCCTCAAGTAATCATGGTACATTTTTTCCTGGGGTTTGACATTTAGATATGTTCTAGTAAACTCCCATTTGATCCATCCACCTTCAAATTCCTGGCTACTAACCTTGGGAATTCTACAAACTTACCCATTATCAGAGTCATTCATGATTGATTTCCTGATGCCTTACATACACAGACTGATAGATCAACCCCCCCTCAATCACAACAGACAGAAATTGATTTCCTGTCACTGTACGTCAGGAAGCTTTCAGGAAAAAAAATCTGGGCCTTTTTTGGTATGATATTTTATTCCTGGCCCCATATCATGCCCCGGGACCCTCACCCACTGTCTGCTAGATTTTGGAACCTAGTGTTTTTTAAAAAGCGTACTGAACCCCCAGGAAAAAAAAACTGGTAGTACAGAGGAGGATATTGTTGAAGAAAACCATACGGAGTTCATAACTGTTCATAATTAAAATCCAGTGAAGCTATCGGATTCAACCTTTTTACAAACCACTGAAATGCATTAAAAAGTATGATCACAACCTTTATGTAGATCCTACCCTCTCCTGTTCGACAGATTGGCCCAGAGATTTTTTTCCTGTACCCCAACCTTGTTTGGAAAACCATGCAATCCTGGCAAGCAAATCTTCAAAACATATAAAATCCTGTGGTACAACCTTATGTTACTAATCCTGCTTTCCTGGCTCCAACATTTGTTTTCCTGAACCCCAACCTTGCGACATCCATTTTTTGATGATTTTTACCTGACTTG